CCGTGTGAAACGGGCTTTCAAGTCCGCCTTGACCTACTCGACCCAGGTCTCGTGAGGTTGGGTTTTGGAAATAACTTTCCGCGTATCTCCCAAACCCCCGAGCTCGGCTCCTTATCAATGCAGGTGCCCCACTCCATAAGAAATCTCGCGAGAATCCCTCGCCGAACCAAAGTTGAGATGTTTGGCCTTTCTCAGGTTCCGTAGCTCGGAGTCGCAGCACCGGAACTAATGTTAACTGGTCGCGGTTGGGGAAGCCTTCGCGGTGGTGCAAGCGGAACCAAGGCCCGGAGGTCTCAGTAAGTAGGACCCGAGCCTGAGCGTCCCCTTTTCGTACTCTCCTCCGATTCCTTGAAGATCCTGGTGTCGCTCAGCAAGAGCGCCCAGGATTTCTGGATCCCCAGCCTTATGACTCAGGGGCTCCTGCCGAGTTTTCCCCTCCCGGGATTTCGATGCAATTCAGCGAATTCACCGCTCCGTCTGAGAAATGATAAAACCGAGATTTAGAGCACAGCCCCGAGGCGCCGTTTGCCAGGTCCCGTACCCTCCCCCGGGTTCCTCTCGATCCGCACTGGGAACGCCATCCCTGCTCCAGGTCTCCCTCTCTTGGGTCCGAGTCCTCCTACAGTCTTCGGCCTCAGACACATACCACTCAGTAACCTCCGCCTCGTCTCCCTGACTGTCCGCAGGCCTGGGCAGCATGGCCGTATTCCGGTCGGGCCTCCTGGTGTTGACAACGCCGCTGACCTCCCTGGCCCCTCGCCTGGCCCCCATTCTGACCTCGGCGGCCCGGCTCGTGAATCACACGCTCTATGTACACCTGCAACCGGGCATGTGCCTGGGCGGCCCGGCTCAGCCCCAGTCCAGCCCCGTGCAGGCCACGTTTGAAGTTATCGATTTCATCACGCACCTCTACGCTGGCGCCGACGTCCACAGGCACCTGGACGTTAGAATTCTGCTGACCAATATCCGAACCAAGAGCTTTCTCCCTCCCCTGACCGGCTCAGTCCAGAACCTGGCCCACCCGCCGGAAGTGGTGCTGACTGACTTCCAGACCCTGGATGGAAGCCAGTACAACCCAGCCAAGCAACAGCTCGAGCGTTATGCTACCAGTTGTTACAGCTGTTGTCCGCAACTGTCTTCGGTGCTCCTATACCCCGATTATGGGCCTGGAGTTCTGCCCGTGGGGTCCCTGGACGTCCCCTTACCCTCCACCATCAGCCCAGCCTCCCCCGTGGGCAGGTCTGCCAAGCAGCCAGTGCGTGGCCACCAGCGAGGTGCTGTGGGTGGCACGTTTGACCGCCTGCACAATGCCCACAAGGTGTTGCTCAGCGTCGCGTGTCTCCTGGCTCAGGAGCAGCTTGTGGTGGGAGTAGCAGACAAAGACCTGTTGAAGAGTGAGTGAGAGAGACCGAGTTAGGGCAGTCTTACCCTCCCCACAGGCCAAGATTGAGGAAGGGTGGGGCCATCCGTTACTTCCCACCACTCCCAAATGTCACAGTGCCTGGCACTCAGTTTGCACGGAGGGAATTTTGTTAAATGAATAAATGCAGCTTTCTAGGTGTGTGGTCCAGTCACCATTCAATCAGGATCCCCCAAATGTGTAGCCAAGGAACCTGCACTTTTAAACAAATTCTCCAGTTGATGAATCCTAAAGTTTGAGTCCCAGGGAATAAATGGATGAGTAAGTTGTAGGTAGCAATGCCACAGGCGGTCAGAGGAGCCTCTCGGAATTCTCTGGCTCTTGGAATTCTCCATCTGACTCTGGTGCCTTCTGGCACTGCTAGTTCTCTGCACACGTGCCAGCCCTTGTAGCTCTATTGTGCTTGCCTGCTGCCTCCTCATAGCTCCCCCGTACAGACCACTGCCCAGCTCCCCTCTGGAGATAGGATGCTTAGGGACGCTCTCCCCTAAACTGGCCCACACTCTTCCTCCCCAGTAAAAAAGATCTCACTGTTCTTCTGGGCTCCTTCCCCAGGCAAGTTGCTCCCTGAGCTGCTCCAACCCTACGCAGAACGCGTGGAACATCTGAGTGAGTTCCTGGTGGACATCAAGCCCTCCTTGACTTTTGATATCATCCCCCTGCTGGACCCCTATGGGCCCGCTGGCTCTGACCCCTCTCTGGAGTTCCTGGTGGTCAGCGAGGAGACCTATCGTGGGGGGATGGCCGTCAACCGCTTCCGCCTTGAGAATGTAACCCCTGAGGGAGACTGGCAGAGGGAGTGGATGGGGATGGGGAAGGCCACTGGGGGCTGTTGGAAGTACGTGACCCCAGAGGAGGGAAGAGAGGGCTCAAGGTGGTGGGAAGAGGCAAGGAGGAACTTCCCAGCTTGCCCTCCGAGGCAAGCTCTACCTCTGGGTAGGCAGGGGAGGATAAGGCGATAGATTTGTCCTCATCTCACCCCTCCTTCTCTCTCCTCACTCTTCCTTTGCCTCAGGACCTGGAGGAGCTCACCTTGTACCAGATCCAGCTGTTGAAGGACCTAAACCACAAGGAAAACGAAGAGGACAAAGTCAGCTCCTCCAGCTTCCGCCAACAAATGCTGGGAAACCTGCTCCGGCCTCCACATGTAAGCCTAACCCACCTGCCTCCCACCCCTTCCCCTGCATGGGTGGGCTGGGAATGCTGGAGAGGAGAGACTGAAGGGTTCAGCCTCAAACCTGAGTCTGGGGACCCTAGTAACTGTGGGGTTCCCTCTTATCTACCCATAGAAGAGGCCAGAGCTCCCCCCAGGTTTCTACGTGATTGGGCTGACGGGCATCAGTGGCTCTGGGAAGAGCTCAGTAGCTCAGCGGCTGAAGGGCCTGGGGGCATATGTTATCGACAGTGACCACCTGGGCCACCGGGCCTATGCCCCGGGTGGTCCTGCCTACCAGCCTGTTGTGAAAGCCTTTGGAACAGGTAATAACTGGGGAGGGCTGGAGGTGGCCTGAAGTGAGGAGATGGCTGGCCTCCTTGCCCAATCTTCTGTCTCTGTCATCCAGATATTCTCCATAAAGATGGCATTATCAACAGGAAGGTCCTAGGCAGCCGGGTGTTTGGGAACAAGGTAAACACACACCTCTCCAAGGGCTCTGCAGCTGCTGCTAGACCCAGAGGTTGGGACCCAGTGGACCTCTCTGGTCTGGCCCAGAATGCCAGTTTCCACTCAACTGTTCCCAACTGCCTCCTCCCTCGGGCTGGCTCCATCTCATCCGGGGGAGGGTAAACTCTGCCCACCCCTTCCATTCCCTTTCTCAGAAGCAGCTGAAGATACTCACGGACATTATGTGGCCAGTTATCGCAAAGCTGGCCAGAGAGGAAATGGAGCAGGCTATGGCTGAGGGTGAGTGAGCAGCCCAAGGGAACAGCTAAGCAGAAGCTCCCTCGGGAGCGTTCCCACCCTAAATCAGACCATCCACTTTCCCTGGGACTGTGTTTCCTTGGCTCTCTGACTGGTAGCAGGTGGCAAGGTGCTGCTGGCAGTGACTGGGGTCTCCCCACAGGAAAGCAGGTGTGCGTCATTGATGCCGCCATGCTGCTCGAAGCAGGCTGGCAGAACATGGTCCATGAGGTGTGGACCGTTGTCATCCCTGAGACTGAGGTATCTGGATCCCACCCCCCACTCTATCCCCACTGTAGCCCGCATCCTGCTCTAAACCGGTGGGCTGATGAATGCCTTGTCTGCCCAGGCTGTACGACGCATTGTGGAGAGGGACGGCCTGAGTGAGGCTGCGGCCCAAAGCCGGCTGCAGAGCCAGATGAGTGGGCAGCAGCTTGTGGACCAGAGCCACGTGGTGCTGAGCACCTTGTGGGAGCCACACGTCACCCAGCACCAGGTTGGTGCCCAGGGAAAGGCTGGGTTGTGGGGAGGGAGTCTCTGGTGGATGCTTGTATGACCCTGATCTCTTTTCTTCCCAACATTCTGGCCTGTCCAAAGGTGGAGAAAGCCTGGGCCCTCCTGCAGAAGCGCATCTCCAAGGCACCATCAGGCCCATGACTGACAATGAGTTCTCTGTGGGGCCAAACTGACCCCTGGAGCTGACAAGAGATCCAGTGATGATGGCGAATTGGGGCCTTGAAGCTCACCCTAGCTGGGGCCTAGAGGGCTCTGTGCTAAGCTGGGCGGGGCCTGGCTGGGCCTGCTGGACACAGGAAGCCTACCCAGCTTGCCAGTGTTTGGCCAACACTGAGAATGTGGCTCTTGGGGGAGCAGGCCCCCTAGCGTTGTTCCGTCCTTGCTTTTGCCCACAGGCCTGTGGCACCCGTGGTGGGCTGGAGCCAGGGCAAACACTGAAGCTTGTTGCAGAATTAAAGGTGAACGTTGCTAGGTGCTGCCTGTATGGCGCTTACTTCCTGCTCCAGTGCCTTTGGGTATCTTTGCGACACTTTAGCCACAAGTGCAGGGCCCAGGCCCGAGCTGTAAGCCAGGAATGCAGTGGTTAAGAGCATGGCTTTTGAAGCTAGCCAGACTGAGGCCAGTCTTGGCCCTATCACTGACTAGCTGTGTGCTTTTGGATACGTTTTGGACTTTGTAGTTACCTCAGTTTGCGTAGCTTACAAAGTAGCATGACTTGGCCAACAGGCTCTTTGAAAGCGTCAATTCCACAACTATCCTGCCAGACTTGGGCTGGGCGTTGCAGGAACATCCTACAACAAGCCATGCGGGGCCTCTGGCCTCACAGAGGTTGCACCCCGGAGGGGTCGGACGAGGTGGCCAAGACTGCAGGTCCGGGAAACTCGTCCCGGTCCTCGGAAGCTGGCTGGCCTCGGCAGTGCGCGTGCGCGCAACTCTGCGACACTGCGTATAAGCCTTTTGCGGGGAGCCCGTTTCACCGAATGTGCTTCATGTCGCGGCGGCTGGGACGCCTGCCCTGAGGAAGAGCAGGGACGGGCGAGTAGGACGGCCCCAAGACCGCCGGTATCAGCCCCGACACCAAGCCGGACTCCAGCACTCCACCGGCCGCAGCGGGGGGGGGGGGGGGGGGGGGGGCGGGGCGGCGTCTTCCGGGTCGCGCATGCGCAGTCTCCTCGCCCCGCCCCCCGCCTCTGGGCCGCGGGTTGGTGGGTTTGGGTCACGTGGGCGCGCATCGCCGCTTCCTCGCCGCAGGGGGCCAGCCCGCGGGCAGGTTTCCGGTTCGGTGGGTCGGAGATGACGGAGCCGGGCGCCTCTCCGGAGGACCCCTGGGTCAAGGCAAGCCCCGTGGGCGCGCACGCCGGCGAGGGGAGGGCGGGTCGGGCTCGTGCACGTAGGGGGTCCGGAAGACGAGGGGACTCCCTGAAGTCCCCAGAGCTACTCCCGCTCTCCGGGCCCCGGGGCTGCAGAGAAGACAGCTCTCACCCCGCGTGTGCCAAGGTGGGAAGACAACTGAGGCGTGTGCGCGCGGGTGTGAGGGGACGGGGTTGGAGGGCTGGGGGTGTGGAGTGGGCGGACGGGGTCCTGCCGAGGGGTGGCGCTCCCGCGGCCTAGCCACTCTTGGCTCTGGGGGAATCCTGCGGCTGCCCGCGCACCCCAGGGGTGTGTGTGTGTGTCACTCTTGGCTCTGGGGGAATCCTGCGGCTGCCCGCGCACCCCAGGGGTGTGTGTGTGTGTGTTTGTACACGCGCGCAGGGGCGGAGGTCTGAACGGGCTTCTCCCTTGCTTGGTGCCGCAGGTCGAGTATGCGTACAGCGACAACAGCCTGGACCCCGGTGAGTGCGTCCCCCACCGTCTGCAGCTGTGGAGGAACACTCCCATTTCAGCCCTATAGATTTAAGTGGCCTTGCTAGCCACACCTGAGCACAGTCCACTGCCCTTGAGCTGAGCGGGCCTGAGCAGCGAGGGAGGAGGAGCTGGAGGACAGGGACAGGAAGCATCCAAGGGTGACACCTAGTTCCCTATGTCCTGGAGCAGGGACGTGATGGAAGTAGTGACAGTTGGTCACTCACCATCATCACGCCCCGATGCCACTTTGTGAGCCAGGAGGTATCACTACAGGCCTGTGGAGCAGAGTAGACACTAGAGACAGGAGCACTGCGAAATGGCACGACAGGAAGTGGGTGGCCCAGTATGGCTGGCTTTTGGGTTGAAGGGGAGAGGTCAGTATTTAAGGCCCAGGAAGCCATTATGCCCCTAGCAGGGCCCCTCCCTCTATCCTACCCCTTAGTGATTGGGGCCTCTCTTTTCCAGGGCTTTTTGTAGAAAGCACCCGCAAGGGGAGTGTAGTGTCCAGAGCTAATAGCATCGGTTCCACCAGTGCCTCTTCTGTCCCCAACACAGGTAGGCAGCAACGTCCCCCCCACTCGGGGGAACCAGATATGCCTTCATTTTAGTATCTTTCCTAGACAGGGCAGAGCTCCAGCCATCCACGTGGAGGCGCTGGAACCCTAGTGCTAGAAGCAGGGTATTGCCATCTCTCACCTCATCTGGGATATTAGGTTCTTGTATCTATCTGCCATCTCTGGGTACCAGGTTCTTCTTCCCAGCTGGGGAAAAGTGGGCTAGATGGGCCCCACTGGGCCCCAGAATGACCTCTTCCTGCCCCCAACTCTGAGCGTAGATGACGAGGACAGCGATTACCACCAGGAATCCTACAAGGAGTCTTACAAGGACCGGCGGCGGCGAGCACACACTCAGGCTGAGCAGAAGAGGAGGGATGCCATCAAGGTGATTGGGGATGCCTGCACCTCAGCCAGCGCAGGAGGGCGCTGCACACTTCAGATCCACTCTGCCTCGACCCCGTCAGGCAGTCCCAAGTAGGCTTGGGGGCAGCTAGTCTAGGCCCTGGACATGAACTTCTCCCTCCTTCCCACTCCCTTTGAGTGAGTGAGCATGGAACTTGGTATCATGGAAGAAAAACTTTGTGCTCATTTGCCTTAACCCCGGAACCCATGTCCCCTGCTGTCTCCACAGAGAGGCTATGATGACCTGCAGACCATCGTTCCCACCTGTCAGCAGCAGGACTTCTCCATTGGCTCCCAAAAGCTCAGCAAGGCCATCGTTCTGCAGAAGAGTATGGCCAGGAGAGCACTGGAGGGCTTGGAGCCAAGGGGGCTGTGAAGGCTAGCGCCTCAGAGCCGCTTTTGGCCTGGCCCTGGTGGGGTGGTTGTAACAGGAGAGGTGGGGTCTGGGGGAAGGAGAGACACAATCAGCCTGGTCCTTCTGGTTGTGCCCACCCCCTCTTCCCTCCCCCACTCCAGCCATTGACTACATCCAGTTTTTGCACAAGGAGAAGAAAAAGCAGGAGGAGGAGGTATCCACGCTACGCAAGGACGTCATGGCCCTAAAGATCATGAAAGTGTAAGGGCGGTGCTGGGCTGGGGGAACCAGGGCTTCTGGTTCTGAGGGGACTCTGAGGCCCCTTCAGTTCACGCCCTTCCCTTTGTTCAAAGGCCACATCAGATAATATTCTCACTCTCTCATGTGGTAGGCAGGACTCTATCCCAGCTGTAGCAGATACTCTGGAAACGCCTGTGGGATTAATGAAGGGAAGGCTGGAGAGGGTGGGTCACCACTTCTGACCTAGAAGCAGTATCTAGCTGATGTTGAATACCTCCCCAAGGCTCTCTGGGAATCTCCTTCCCAGGGGAGTACGTAGGGTAGCGCTATTCTTCTTCCGGGGCCGGTGGAGCTGCTGCAGCCCCTTAGCCCTGGCCTGTTCGCTCTCAGGAACTATGAGCAGATTGTGAAGGCACACCAGGACAACCCCCACGAGGGGGAGGACCAGGTCTCTGACCAGGTGAAGTTCAACGTGTTTCAAGGCATCATGGACTCCCTCTTCCAGTCCTTCAATGCCTCTATCTCCGTGGCAAGCTTCCAGGAGCTGTCGGCCTGTGTCTTCAGCTGGATTGAGGAGCACTGTAAGCCTCAGGTACGGGGCAGCCGTGGACACGGGGTTGGGGGTCTTCCCTCAGGCACAGTGGCCCAAGCTGTTGTTTGTTCAGAGAGACAGGGTAGCAGGTTTTAGGTTTCTTGAGGATATTTCTACAACTTTCAGTATTCTTGTTTCCCCCTTTGCTTTCTAGCCCAGTTTTTCCTGTTAAGGTTTCATTTGGCAAGAAGGATTGGAGCACTCACTAATGCAAGGCCTAGCTCTTGGCCTTTGTTTCACCCACATAGTGGCAAGTAATGGCAGCCTCAGGCATTCCTCCTCGGCCGCCCCGCAAGTAAGCCCCGATCACTTGCAGCAGACTTACTTGGGGTTTTTGGAAAGATTCCTGGCCCCCACCCCCAGGCCCACTAAAGTAGCTTTCCATGGGGTTTCTAATTATTATTTGTAATGGAGAGTGTGTTAATGGTTGTACTGAGTCTTCCATTTTTGAGGCCTGGTTGCTTTTTCTGAGGCTTGACTTGTATCTGAGATTCTCACGTTTTTGTTTCCCAACATTTTTTTCAATGTAATTTTTAAAAGTTACACTCCATTTACACTTATTACAAAAAACACTGGCTACATTCCCCATGTTGTACAATACCTCCTTGCAGCCTTACACCCAGTAGTTTGTACCTCCCACTCCCCCACCCCGCACTGGTAACCACTAGTGTGTTCTCTGTATCTGTGAATCTGCTGCTTTTTTGTTATATTGACTAGTTTGTATTTATTTAGATTCCACATATAAGTAATGCTATACACGTATATGTGGAATCTGTCTCTGACTTACTTCACTTAGCATAACGCCCTCCAAGTCCATCCATGCTGCTGCAGATGGCAACATTTCATTTTTCTCTTTGGCTGAGGAGTATTCCATTGTGTGTGCGTGCGTGTGTGTACCACATCTTCTTTATCCATTCATCTTGGTTTTTTGCAGGGTTTTTTTGGTACTTTTAAAAATTTTATTAAAGTACAGTTGATTTACAATGTTGTGTTAATTTCTGCTGTACAGGAAAGTGACTCAGTTATACATACATATAATCTTTTTCATATTCTTTTCCATTATGGTTTCTCACTAGATATTGAATATAGTTCCCTGTGCTCTACAGTGGGACCTTGCTGTTTATGCATCCATCCTATATACAGAAGTTTGCCTCTGCTAATCCCAAACTCCCACTCCTTCCCTTCCCTACCTCCCCCACCCCCGCAGCCTCAAGGCTGTTCTCTGTGTGAGTCTGTTTCTGTTTCGTAGAGATGTTGATTTGTGTCATACTTAGATTCCACATATAAGTGATATCATATGGTATTTGTTTTTCTCTTTCTGATCTACTTTGCTTAGTATGATAATCTCTAGGTCCATCCATGTTGCTTCAGATGGCGTTATTTCATTCTTTTTTTTAAGGCTGAGTAGTATTACATTGTATATATATGCACATTTTCTTTATCCGTTCACCTGTTGATGGATGCTTAGGTTGCTTCCGTATCTTGGCAGTTGTAAATAATGCTGCTGGAACATTGGATTGCATATCTTCGAATTAGTGTTTCTATTTTTTTTTGGATATATACCTGGGAGTGGAATTGCTGGATCATATGGTAGCTCTATTTTTAGTTTTTTGAGAAACCTCCATACTGTTTTCCAGTGGCTGCACCAGTTTACATTCCCACCAACAGGGTGCAAGGGTCCCCTTTCTTCCACATTTGTTATTTGTGTTTGATGATCACCATTCTCACAGACGTGAGGTGATATCTCATTGTGGTTTTTTGTTTTTCTGGCTGCGCTGGGTCCATTGCGGCAGGCGGGTTCTTCTTCATTGCAGCACATGGGCTCAAGCTCATGGGCTTAGCAGTTATGGCGCTTGGGCTTAGTTGCCCTGTGGCATGTGGGATCTTAGTTCCCCGACCAGATCTTACCCGCGTCCTCTGCATTGGAAGGCGGATTCTTAACCACTGTGCCACCAGGGAAGCTCACCATACTGTTTTGATTACTGTAGCTTTGTAGTATAGTCTGAAGCCAGGGAGCATGATACCTCCAGCTCTGTTCTTTCTCAAGATTATTTTGCCTATTCGGGTTCTTTTGTCTTTCCATACAAATTTTAAAATTATTTGTTCTAGTTCTGTGAAAAATGCCATTGGTATTTTGACAGGGACTGCAATGAATCTGTAGACTGCCTCGGGTAGTATGGTCATTGTAACAATATTGATTCTTCCAGTCAAAGAACATGGTATATCTTTCTGTCTGTGTCATCTTCAATTTCTTTCCGTCAGAGTACAAGTCTTTTACCTCCTTAGGTAGGTTTATTTTATTCTTTTTAATGTGATGGTAAATGGGACTGTTTTCTTAATTTTTCTTTGATACTTAAATGCAAGAGATTTCTGTACATTAATTTTATACCCTGCAACTTTACCAAATGCATTGCTGAGCTCTAGTAGTTTTCTGCTGGCATCTTTAGGATTTTCCATGTTTAGTATTGTGTCATCTGCTAACAGTGATATTTTACTTCTTCCTTTCCAATTTGGATTCCTTTTACTTCTTCTCTGATTGCCATGGCTAGGGCTTCCAAAACTATGTTGAATAAAAGTGGTGAAAGTGGGCATCCTTGTCTTGTTTCTGATCTTAGAGGAAATGTTTTCAGCTGAAAGCATGTCCCAACATTTTTATTGTGAAACACTGTAAACATACTGCAGCATTGAGAGAATTTTATAATGAACACTCATATATCCCCCTCCCCCCCCCCAAAGTTTACCATTAACGTTTTTTGTATTTGCTTTATCACATAGTAATGCATCTCTCCATCCCTGACTGACTCCTTCCTGTTTTGGGGGCATTTGCAAACTGTAGACATCAGTGCTTCCCAGGTTTTTTGTTTTAACTGTACTCTAAAGAGCACACCTGGTTCAGGCAGGCATCACTGAGCAGCTCTGTGCCCTCCGTGAGCATGATCTCTCTCTTTCTCTGCTGCCCCTACCAGACCCTACGGGAGATTGTGATTGGTGTTCTACATCAATTGAAGAACCAGCTTTACTGACCAGCTCTTGGAACCTGCAGAACAGCCAACAAGAGGCCTTGAGTCTCCTACTTGGCCGTGGAGCCACTGGGCTTATGAGATTGGACTGTGACACTGCACACCAGTCAGCTGCTTTCTCCTCAGTGTTTGGCTCCCCAGCTCCCCCCTCCCCCTCAGCCCCATCTTCAGTGGGGCTGGGGAAGGGGGAAGGTTATTATATGAAAGCTTTGATTAATTTATTATACTGACCATAGATCTCAAACCTACCTAGTCTTTCCCCCTCCCCATGGAAGTCCTCGGGATGGGGTCTGCTCTGGGAACCCTAGAAAGCTCCTGGCCTCTCCCTTTGTCTAGGCCTCAGGTTTCTGCTCCCGTTTGGTAACTACCGTTTGCCTGTTCTGGTCTCTCTGGCAACCTTTAGCCTGAGTCTGGCCACTTTGGCAGTAGTTGGATGGGAAGGAAGGAGGAAGGGAAAACGCTCTCACAGCCATGAAGGGTGAAAGGTGGCCTCATGCCTAGGCTAGGGCTGCCTGGTCAGCCCAAGGTGAGGCCAGAGCTTTCTCTGGCCAGCTCAGGGCAGGGCTGCCAGGTTCCTGCCCTTGCCCCCTACTCTGGGTGGTGGAGGGAAGCAACCTCCTCACCCACTCCTGCCCTCTGTGTCCCCACAGGCAGTAGCACTGCACAGCAAAGTCAAATGTGACACAACACTACATATTAAATTTTTTAATTTTTCTAAACACCAACAATGCAATTTTGCTAAAGTTACAATTTTGGAAAACTGGTCTCAAGACCACTCCCAGGCTTTCTGTCAAGTGTATCTGGGTCTCCACCATCTCAGTGCTGCCTGCATTTCTCCCAGGACTTAGGGTGGGGTGAAGGTGGGTAGAGAAGATTTTCTAAAGGTCTCCTGGAGTGTAGAGCCCAGGAGAGTCCTGGGTGAGGCCCTGGGCTCCTTGAATGCTGTGCATAGTAGCCTCTCCCTGCCCTTGTCCCCCAAGCTCTCTTTTGCCTTCCTCAGGTTTGATATCTGGGAGGTTTGATTATCCAGAGGAAATTAAATATTTTTATATCAAATTATATTACAATAAATATTGCCAAATGCTTTCCTTTTGCATTGTTCCCCATCTAACTAACTGTTAAGTTCAGGCAGTCAAAACGTGGATGACGAAATGAGTGAAACCATCCTCTCTGGGCCACCAGTGCTCCACCCAGTACTTTGGTGTGTGCCCAAAAGCGGACAGCAGCAGGAACAACAAAAAAGCTGACCTAAACAAGGCAGCCAGTCCAGGACATCTGTGTTCCCAGGCCTGCCGGAGGGCCTCAGGGATCTGGGAGCTTGAGGTTGTAATCTTCATCTGTCTCTATCCCAACTTCCTCCTGCGGTGGAGGGGCAGCAAGACAAGTGAATGAGACCTCCCTGGACGCAGGCCCCAGGGGAGCAAGGAAGGGAGAACGCCACTTACAAAAAATTGCTTCTTGCTCTTGGGGTATCCTTCAAGGATTGCATCAGACAGCTCTGTTGCCTGACAAGAAACAAAACCGCCCCCTTTCAGATGGGCAGTACTCGGCTTGCCTGACGGGTCCATGATACCCCCGGTGGCTGCCGCTGTCCAGGGCCCGCCTAGAGTTCCCCCGCACTTACCATCCTCTTGCGCTTCCTCCACTCCTTGCGGTACCTCTGCCTCTCTCCGTACACCTAGACAGGGAAACAGGTTCCTCTGACCCCCTCAGCCCCACAGCAGCCGCTGGGGTCGACCCTCCTCACTTTGAACCTGCACAGGCAGCCCTCCCTGCTCCCCCCCCCACCCACCTGCTCCTTCTCTTCTGGAGTCACGTGGTTGGTGGCCGCTTTGATGTTCTTCAGTCTCTCTGTGTAGCCAGCACATTCCTTCTTTAACTCCTGGATCTCTTTCTGCATCTCCGCTGTGGTCAGGGCACTAGCTAACTCCTTCAGCTCTAAAACCACATCCCCCGGAGAGGTCACTGGCTACCCTGAGGTAGGAGACCAGGCCTCCACCTTGCTCTGGGCTCTATACACAGGGTCCAGAATGGGTCCCATATTCTGGAAATCCTCACGAGAGATTAAGGCTTACAGAATTGTCCGTTTATTTCTAGTTTTCTTTCCTTCCCCATCTACAAATAGTTGAGGGGAATGAGTCTGAGTAGACTGTTAGCTGTAGTCAGTTAAAGTAGCAGAGTAAAGGGAAGTGTGGGAACCGTATACTGGTACTCACAGCAGGGAAGGCAAATGCCTGACTTGCCCACTTGTCTTCAAAAGCCATTAGTTGTTAGACATTGATTTTAAGGTAATGCTTATGACAGCCCAGCAAAGGGATCTTTGCTGCAAGAAGACAACACTGCAGTCAACAAACCCTTCACTTGGTAATTCCTGACCTCGGACTGACCCTGACACTAGGGGTACCTTCTGGGGGTTGCCCAGTCCTACCAGCCTCCATGTGGCGGCAGCCCTGCTGCAAGCTCTGCACCTTAGCAGTGAGGGCCACGATCTTGGCATCCAGGACTTGGAGGTCAGCATCACTGGCCGTGTCAAATTGTTCCTGCCAGAGACAAAAGGAAAAACAGAAGCAGGCTGATGGGAGAAGCAAGAAGGGAACCCACGTTTGGGAAGGCCACGTTCATACACACTCGCGAACCTGGGCCTGGGAAGATAGTGAGAGGGTACTTTCGAGCAGTCAGTTCAGTACCAGTCCACTCAAAAAGCTGTAAAAGAGGGCTTCCCTGGTGGCGCAGTGGTTGAGAATCTGCCTGCCAATGCAGGGGACATGGGTTCGAGCCCTGGTCTGGGAAGATGACACATGCCGCGGAGCAACTAGCCCCGTGAGCCACAATTACTGAGCCTGCGCGGCGTCTGGAGCCTGTGCTCTGCAGCAAGAGAGGCTGCAATAGTGAGAGGCCCGCGCGCCGCGATGAGGAGTGGCCCCCACTTGCCACAACTAGAGAAAGCCCTCGCACAGAAACGAAGACCCAACACAGCCATAAATTAATTAATTAATTAAAAAAAAAAAAAAAAAAGCTGTAAAAGAACAAGTTGAAACCTGATACTCGTCCTCAAGGGGTTTTGAGGTGCAGGATACTGAACAACAGGACAGAAATATCTTTCAGGTTACTGGCAAAACCACTCACTGGGCTGAAGGAGTAAAGGAACATTCTTCTCAAGGTGATGATACCTAATTATGGGTTTCCACAATAGGAAGAATCTGGACAGGTGAAGAGGCATGGTGGGAGGTATTTAGATAAAGGATACCAGTGAAGTCTGAGGAACCTCTCCCTGAGACCAGCAGCTAGAAAAGGCCTGTGCTGGGGCTCAGTGGGGTCTTGTCAGTGGTGATGGGAAGCAGAATGGAAAGGATGGGAATACCAGCCCAGGCAGTTTGGACTCTACATTCAGGTGAGGTAAACCATTAGGGCAGGAGGCAGCAAACTACAGCCTGCAAGCCAAATCCTGCCAAATGCATGTTTTTGAAAAAAACTTATGGAAACGTAGCCACATCCACTTGCTTACATATTGTCCATGGCTGGTTTTGCTCTACGGTGGCAGACTTGAGTACTAGTGACAGTTGTGTAACTGGGACAAGAGACCATCTAACCTGCAAAGCATAAAAATATTAACTGGCCCTTTACAGAAAAAAAAAAAAAAATCTGCCAACTTCTTTAAGGGATCGTCAATAGAGCAGTAATATAATGAAATCTATTTTGGGATAATTAGCCTTGACAGTGGATGTTAAATCCTGTGGGGTTACTGAGTAAAGGAAGATGAGAAATGGGGTCTGCCCCAGAACAGCTTCAGTTTTGTGAGGGAGACAAGTGAAAAGACAATTACAATAGAGTGTGCCTCAAAAGAGGTAAGTGCCCGAAGAAGGCAGTTAGCTCATAGCATTCAGGGAAGGTTTCTGGAGGTGATGCCCTGTGTGAAATCCTAAGGGATGAGTAAGAGTTAGCCGGGCAAAGAGAAAGAAGGGACTCAAAAACTCTGAGCAGAGGAAGGACAATGAGCAAAGGCCACAGGAGTAAAACACATCTAAATGGTCTAGTATTGATGAATGGAGAAATAACAGGGACAGGAGAGGCTAGAGGCAGGCTGGGGCCAGGTCTCCAAGTGCCTTTTATCTGTTCTAGGGAGCACTAGAGTTTTCAGTAGGGAAACGGCATGACTAGATTTGTACGTACATAGATTATTCTGGCTGCAATGTTTAAGATATGTTTAAGGAGGCCAGGAGTTAGAAGGATATTGCAGTAGATGAGGAGCACCTAAACTAGAGCAGTGGTGGCAGCTGGAAAAGGAGAGGATGGATTCAAGAAGAGGAAAACAACTGGACTTGATGGCTGACTAGGCATGTGAAATAAGGGAAGTTAAGAATGATTCCCCGGGACTTCCCTGGTGGCGCAGTGGTTAAGAATCTGCCTAACAATGCAGGGGACACAGGTTTGATCCCTGGTCCAGGAAGATCCCACGTGCCACAACTACTGAGCCTACGTGCTGCAACTACTTAAGTCCACGCACCTAGAGCCTATGCTCCGCAACAAGAGAAGCCACCGCAATGAGAAGCCCACGCACCGAAACGAAGAGTAGCCCCCACTCGCCGCAACTAGAGAAAGCCTGCACGCAGCAACGAAGACCCAATGCAGAAATAAATAAACGAATGAATGAATGACTCCAGGAACATCCCTGGTGGTCCAGTGGTTAAGAATCCGCCTTCCCATGGACATATATACACTACCAAACGTAAGGTAGATAGCTAGTGGGAAGCAGCCGCATAGCACAGGGAGATCAGCTCGGTGCTTTGTGACCCCCTGGAGGGGTGGGATAGGGAGGGTAGGAGGGAGGGAGACGCAAGAGGGAAGAGATATGGGAACATATGTATAACTGATTCACTTTGTTATAAGGCAGAAACTAACACACCATTGTAAAGCAATTATACCCCAATAAAGATGTTAAAAAAAAAAAGAATAAAATATACTTATTTTCTTCAAAAAAAAAAAAAGAATCCGCCTTCCAATGCAGGGGACGGGGGTTCGATCCCTGGTTAGGGAACTAAGATCCCACGTGCGGGTGGGCGGGGGGCAATTAAGCCCCCCCACCGCAACTAAGACGCAATGCAGCCAAAATAAACAAATAATAATAAAAAAGAATGACTCCCCGGTCTCTGGCCTGGGTGAAGAGTGATTCCATTAAGGGAGAAGAATACAAGAGGAGCCAGTTTAGGGGAGAGATGAGGCATTCTACTTTGGCAATATTGATTCTGAACGGCCTGAAAAGCATCCAGGTGAGGGGGGTCTGGGCTGGAGATACAAAGTTAATGTCACATGTGTTTACGGAAGGGGGTGGAGACAGAAGGAAAATAATTTGGAAGACGGTGGTTCTCATCTAGATGATTGGGAATAAGAACTTCCAAGGATAAATGGATCTCGATAGCAACAACTCAGGATCTTCTGTCCTCTATCATATTTCAAGTCTGGAAATCTCGTGAAGTTTGGATGACAGCAAAGGGGGTCCATACTTTGACTTAAAGGCTGGCTGGGACCCTTTTATGGGCCTAAGACCGGTGAATTTCACAGGATGCTTCAATTCTCCCAAAGAGAGTTCATACCACGGACTGATTCACCTAATGCCGGACTCTCACACACGTGCTAATCTGCACGTTTCCCTCACCTGGTCAGCAAAGTATATTTTCTGCTTGCCGTACATCTTCTCTTTGATCTTGCCTTGTTGGGCCAGCTGGTCCAGCGCCTTCACCACCGCCTGGCAGAGGGGAGGGGGCGGAGAAGTCGGGGGAGTGACTTCGGGCCGGGCTGGGGAATGTCACCAATGAGGCGGGAAGCGCCCGAAGAGCCTTAGGAAGCCCAAGGCTAGAATGGCAGCCTCGGGAGGGGAGGAATCCAGGCTGATTCAAGGGGTCCCAGGGGAGGAATCCCAGGAGAGGGTCCTCACCGCCTTGCCCAGTCCGTGTTCCCGCTGCAGGTTCCCGAACACGTCCTGGGCGCTGTAGGGCCGGTTCTGCTCCTGTAGGTACCTCAGCAGGATCCCGGAGGCTGCGGAGAGAGACGAGGCGGGGAGGGGTTCCCTCAACCGACCCCTGCCCGCCCTTCTCCCAGGTCTCCCGGCGCCCACGGCCCTTACCTCCCGCCACGGCTTCCGCCCGGCCTTTACTCATGTCCTTTACCGCCACAAAACTCCGAAAGCCGGAAGTTGCAGTTGCTCGGGGCAACAGCTCCTTCCGGCGATGAGCCGGGCTGGCCTCAAGTGCTGATTGGCGGAGGGAAGCCTTCGCGAGGGGCGGAGCAGCCCTTCCCGGACACCGTGTTTCAGCTCGGCCGGGAACTCGGGCGCCTACGTCTCGCCGGCCGGGTCCCGGTCTCTGCCGGGTAGGCGGGGCGCGCGCTTCGAACCTCTCACTTACTCCTCTCGGAACCAGGGCTGTAGGGAATCACGCGCTGATGTTTCGGGACCCAGTTCTAGCGGCCGCTGAGCACTCGTGACCTTGAATTGGGCTGAGTATTCGAACGGAAAGAAACCTCAGCATCAGCTCCCGCTGGGCAAGCGACTTGCTCAAGGTCACAGGGCTAGTTACCTACGGACGTGTCCCCTCCTACGGCCCAAACCTTTCAGTCGGTTTTTCTCATTTTTTGTAAAACGGCAACAAGAGGTGTTTGCAGGAGGGGAGTTATGAAGACAATAGAAGGGGTAAGCGCCCTGAAAATAATAACGCTGCCTTAATTTGCCCGTTACCGAGCTTCGCACACAGGGGGCGCTCAGCACATGCTGTGGTTGAAGGTAGGGTTGGGAGGCGCTGCTCTTAAGCCACAATGCTTGTAGAAGTTTCCTCTTGGCCGAGACAATCTTATGGCAACACCTGGCAGGTGCTTTCCACTCCTGCCCACATCGGCCAATGGGACAAAGCCTGAAATAAGTATTTCTAGTTTCTGAGGTCAGCTGAAGGCCAAAGAGCAGCTGTTGAGTTGCAGGTTCAAACAATCCAGAGGGCCATGGTGCTAATGTTTAAAGCTTCTATTACCTAAAATCTCATTAGCCATTGAAACCTGTGCTTGTCTTCACACGTTTAGGGGACAATATTAAGAATTAGAAATGACGGAACTGCAGGCTAGATGCCAGCCGAGAGTGCCGGTTATGCTCACATCCGGGCTCTCCTGGAGAGGGGAAGTAGCCTCCCACCATGGTGATTGTTCCGGCCATCACAGAAGGAAAAACAGGGATGGGCAGGTGGGTCCCTCACACATGGGCTTCCTCTTTTGAGGCTATCACCTCCTCAAATTAATATCATCTCAGATTAACAAGACCTATCAAAGGATAAGGCACCATTCAACATCAGTCTCTTAAAAGATTGTTCTCATACAAGATTTATTCCCCAGCACCCCTCCCTCCCTCATCCCCATCCCAATTCACAGTGGAGGACTAAGGAGATTCAGAGCAGGATCCGCAGGTACAAGAAACACCTTCCAAAGATTTTGCTCTCCTTCCTTCCCTCCCTCTTGCCAATTTCCAAGGCCCGAAGCTAAACACACTCATGCAAACACACAAAGTCCCACTCCTTTCCCACACCTGTTTTTTCCACATCAGAGCTCACTTGTAAGACATCTGGGCTCTGGGAAGAGAGAAGGTATCCAAAGTCTGTTTGAGAACACTAAAGTGGGGAGAGGCCGTTATCCTAACCTTCCACAAAGGGAAGTGACTATGAATCAGACACCTAGCTCTTCTCCCTTCTCACCGTTGACTATTTTCACTCCTTGGCCTCTACCTTGTCCATCAACCAAGAGCAAACATGTTAGCACACTCCCACCTGCAGCACGTGAAAATGGGCTCTGTCCAACATCCCTCACCCAGCTACAGGGGTGTTGGGGGAGTGGTCCCTGAGGATCAGCAAAGGGTTAATGCAGAGGGAAAGAGGACAGAAGAGTTCAGCTTGAGCTCTGATTGGGGAGGCACAGGTTTAGAACTAATGACCTTTTAAAATTTTTGTCTCACATGATTTTATTAGGGGCAGTAGAACAGATACCCTTTACTGGGGTCTCTGCTGATTATAGACACATTCTTGCTAACTGGGCTCATCCTTAAAAGAAGCCCTGCCAAACTGGGGAGGAGTTGAAAACAAAATTATTAAAGGAGCTGAACAAGGAGTAAGAATAGCTGGTGCAAGAAGAGCTGGTGGCTCCTGGGATGAATGCCACTGAGCCATCTGTAAAGTGCTACTCTGACACTGCCCATGTGGGATTATTGCTTCTCCAGAGGAGGAGCAGGGGAAGGAACAGGAACATGGAAATGGGTATGGCATGGTATTGCTTTGCTCACTGCTCAGGCTGATGGGCAAATGGAGCCAGGGGTTAGCAGCACCAAAAATAACCAGGCAGCTCCAAAAGATTCAGTGAGACCATGAGATATAGAGGCACTCACCCTCCCAGCCAGCTGACCCCATGGCCCAAAGTAATGTAGAAGAGGCCCACCCCCACCTCATGTTCACATTCTTAAATTTCACAAGCAATATGTTGGAGCACTGGAGGTTAGGCCTCGAGAAATGAGAATGGGCTGGGGCAGAGGGAACAGGCCTGCTCTGCAGAACCAAAGGACAAGCTTGCTTAGAAAAAGGCAAATCAAAGCATGGCTTAGCAAAAGAGGAAGATGACAGTGTAACTCTCCCAGCTGCCTGACTTGGAGCTCTCGGGAGATGATAAAGGGAGGAAGGAAGGAAGGGATCTATCACTGAGGGCTTCTGAGCACCCATACTTAGAAGCACACAGCAGCATCCCCTCAAAAGGGAACCAATACCCCTGACTACTTTGTTCCCCAGAAATACCACCATCCTGATGGAGAGAAGTGTCCCTCAGGGGAGCACATTCTCACTTCAGTGACTTGAGCTCAGAAGTCAGTGTCCAGCTGGTGGCAGAGGAGTGAGTGTCCTCTCTCATCAGGCCTCTGCGCATCTGCCAGGCTACTGAGCATACATATATAACTCGGGGGCTGGGACCTGGGTTCTTCCCTTGCCCCTTCACCTTAAGTGGAATGGGGAGCAAAAAAAACCTAAACCACAATGACCCCCAAGGGGAGTCTCTGCCTCAGTGGCTCCTGGAACTGGCAGGGTCCAGCTGATTCAGCTCCGACTGGTCCAGAAGTTCAAAGTCATCCCCCTCAGCATCAGTGTCCAGGTCTGAACTGGGGGCCCGGAGGACACCTCTTGTGGCTCTCCGGGGAGGTAGGCCAGCAGGGCCTGGCTGGGAGGCCCCTGACAGGGCCAGCTGGATCATGCCCTGGGAGACCAGGCTAGCAAGGTTGCTGGTGAGGTTGGATCCTGCAGGCAGGGCGCCAAGCAAAAGCTCCGGCAGTGCAGCCTCGTCCCGGCTGGCAGGGGGGCCCTGAGGCTCCTCGGCCCCTGGTGGGGAACGGTACATCGAGCTGGGCATCCCGATGCTGGTATCGTCCTCATCATCCAGGCCAGCAGGATCCACGTTAATGGAAGGAAAGTCTGGAAGGTCTCTGGCAAAGGATTCCTCTGGATCACTGTGACCATCTAGGTCTGGGAGAACAGAGGAGTGTCTGAGACATGGCAACTGCTTGGCCTTCCTATGCCCTAGCCCCACCAAGTCATCTCCAAGTAACCAGATGTTTCCACCCTGGATTTCTGGCACCGGTCAGCTTTCCCCCTCCACTTATAGACTGCTGTGACCTCTACTGGCCAGAGAACTCCCCCTTTCTTCCTCTGCTATGTCCCCCATAAGCCGAGAATCTGAGGCTATAAGGGACTGAGGATTTCTAGGAGAGCAGCAGTGCCATCTGGCTGGAGCCATACCCCTAACGCTGCTCTGCCACCTGCTCCACAGCTCAGAAAACAGGAGAAGCGGGGGCAGTATCCCCGCTGCCCGGGAAGCTGAGAGGCAACAGTCAGGGCCAGTATCAACTTGGGTCCAAGGTTCCTCTACCTTCAGAGCCTTCTGTTAGAGGTGTCTGGCCCCGTGAAAGATTGAATGTGCCGTTGTCTGTACAGGAGACCTCAGCATCCGAGTGCTCAGAGTCTGTGATGGCCAATTCCCTGGCAACAGTAGAATCATCCAGCTTAGGAAAAGAAAAGACCAACACGCCTGAAGAGATGGTGCCATTAGAAACGAGCGCAGTTCCCTAGTTACAGCTTCACCAGTGAGCTGGCCCTAAAGGCTACCTTAAGGCCAACAGTGTAACCAGGCATGCATGGGGACTTGAGTCAAAATCTTGACCCCTTTTAGGCTGCTCCCCCAGGGAAAACACCCTTTTTCATCAGTCTTGAGCACAGGAAGGAAAGCAGTCTTGGGTGTCAACCAGCCACTTACTCTTAAGCAAATAATTGATCCAGAGAATACTTTTCACAGGTGGCCAGGAGGATGCACACATTGCCTGACCTAAGGCAAGCCGGGCTGTTTAAAAAACGATCATGCCAGTTGCAGAAGTTCTGCCATGATGGCAGGGGTTAAAAGGAGGCATGGAAGAGGGTGTGCTGGTCACCAGGCTCAAACTGAGATTCTACATACAAAGTCCCAATATAAAACTAGCTTCTCTCCTCACTGCTCTTGGGGCAGTGAGGTCCTTGGAAAAGGGCAAGAAGCTGGGTCCCTGGAGAGCCCACAGGGAGCTTGAAAACCTGGTTACTGTCTAAACATGAGTGCCAGATGGTTAAAAAGGAGCTAAAAAAAAACTGGCCAGCGACGCAGCTCCCACACCCAAGATACCTGAGGACAGAAGGCAGCAAGTTCCTCTTCACTGTCACTGTGGTTGTCCCCAGCGCGTTCTGCGTGTAGACCTCTGCGGCGCACTATGTGGAAAGAGCAAAAACGCCTTGACGCCTTCCCGTGAGGGGAAACTCCTGTCCCCTTTGGATTTCAAAGGCATAAAATCAGAACACGAGAATGAACCCCCTAAGCCTACATAACAACGCCTGAGGGAGGAGCTGCTGAGCCTAAGTGCCAAGGTAAGCTGATAACACAGGAGAAAGATCTCTCTTCCAACATCCCTCCCTTTTTGTTCTGGTCAGATGATCAACTACCAGGCTTGTCAACAACTCTCAGGATCAGCTAGGGACAGACCAGATGTCAATGTGTAAAGCGGACACTGTCACAGAGAAGGCAAAGGGAGATGCCCCACCTGGGCTGAATCAGCCTTTTGAGGACTGGTACTATTCAACTGGCTGCGTTAGGGGGAGCTGGGCCTTGGTGCCCATGTGCAGGGCTCTTAGAAGGCCAGGGTTTAATGAAAACCCAACCTGACCATACCACAGAAGAGAGGGAAAAGTTCGCACGACTGTCACTCGTGTGTTGGAAGATCCTGGGCTAGTACACTTCTGGCTTCTGAAGCCAGTTTTAAATTACTTTTGGAAGGCAGCTTTCAGTACTGAATGGAGGCCGAGCTTAGGAGTTTGAAAGACCTGCTCTGCCATTTACTAACCGTGAGCTTCAGTTTCCTCAACCAGAAACTCAACCAGAAAAAGATAATACCACCCTCTTCTCAAGGTTGTTATAAACGTTAAATAAGACAATGTATGGAGAGCAGCCAGCACATGGGACGTGCTTCATAAAAAGAGGCTAACACTGGGAATATCTTCACTGTCTGTCTTTTAGTTGACTTGGTGGGACGTGCTTCATAAAAAGAGGCTAACACTGGGAATATCTTCACTGTCTGTCTTTTAGTTGACTTGGGAGAACTTTTCTCGTTATTTGTTTAAAATGGGAGCGTCTAGAATTCCAAACGGGAAAAACTAGTAAGCCTGCACAGATTTCCCTGGAATAGAAGGTCACTTTTACCGCCAACCCCCTACACACCAACCACATCCCACTTCTCCGTGTTCAAGGACCTATTATGTCAGACCTACGGGCTTCTCCTTCTCCTCCCCAAATTGTCCAAGTGGAAGGAAGCTTCCCCTTGACACTTACATTGTCTCTCTCTCTGCTTGGACATCATGTAGCCACGGACACTGAAGTCCAGCCGCTGCAGAGCTGGCTTCAGTCGTACATACACTCGATCCCACAGTCGGTGGTACACAGCAAGGGGCCACATCATGACAGTGACAACTGAGAGGAGTGGGAAAGAGTGGCAAAATGGAGAAAGGGCTGCATGAAACAGTCCTGACTGTCCCTCTGCTATCGTGTCCTTAGGGCCTGGACACAATAAATTCTAATTCTGCTGGTCATCTTCACAGATGTGAAGGTTCCGGAGGGCAGAGACTTCTGCAGTCACCTACAGGGCTGTGCATAGCGGAGTACATGCTGACACATCGAGGGCAGGACCAGGCAGTGCTGTCACTTGCACATGGG